CGGCGTTTCTCTTGTTGCGCTCACCTGCGCCTTCCCTCCCTCTCCCGCTCTTTTCTTTAATGCAGAAACGAAAAGCAGAAGGAAGAAGAGGTTCGTGTCCAGCCCCCGCTACGTGGAGACCATGCTGGTAGCCGACCAGTCCATGGCCGAGTTCCACGGCAGCGGGCTGAAGCACTACCTCCTGACGCTGCTCTCCGTGGCGGCCAAGCTGTACAAGCACCCCAGCATCCGCAACTCCATCAGCCTCGTGGTGGTGAAAATCATGGTCATTTACGAGGAGCGGAAGGGACCCGATATCTCCTCCAACGCGGCCCTGACTTTAAGAAACTTCTGCAGCTGGCAGAAGCAGCACAACCCGCCCAGTGACCGGCACGCGGAGCACTATGACACGGCGATCCTCTTCACCAGGCAGGTGAGGGACACGGAGGTCCAGTCCATCCCCGCACCCATTGCTCCCTACCCCCAGAGGCCCCCTCTGCCAGCAGACCTCAGAAAAATTGTTCTGAGGCAGCCTTGTGTCATCACAGCTTCAGCAAAGGCGGCTAAAAATGAAAGGAACTGCTTTTTATTTTATTTTGCTGTTTGTACCGTCTCAGGTGAAACTTGCAGTATGTGCAACGTATTTCTGTCTCATATATTTTTAGCAGATTTAGTATGGAAATTATGCATTTTATTTCTACGTGTAACCCTTGTGTATGTTCCAAAGACAGCTTTTTGCCATCATACCCATTGAAGTGCTGAATATTTATGCTTTTTCCATAAGTAAAGGCAAACTGCCAGGCCTGGATGTTTCTTGCCAAGGTTAAGTCTCTGATCTGATTAATAATGAAACTGCCTTTTTTTACAGGACCTCTGCGGTGCCAAGACATGTGATACTCTTGGGATGGCCGATGTGGGAACAGTTTGTGATCTAAACCGCAGTTGCTCTATCATAGAAGACGATGGTTTGCAGGCTGCCTTCACAACAGCCCACGAACTAGGTACTTGAACCGCTTGAAAGGCGATTTCACGTGATTAACTGAAGGCAGCTCGATGCCGTAAAGCAAAGAGCTGCCCAGCCCGCACCGCGGGCTCGCCCCGCGGGGCGCAGAGCTCCCTGCCCTCCACGGCGCAGTCGGGAGGAGGCAAAGCTCTGCCACTGTAGCGGGGTTGAACCACGGAAAGCAAATCCGCCTTACACGGCGTTGTCTGCGAGAGTTGTGCGTTTGACTGATTGCTGGAAAAAAGCATGTGAGAAGCCTGTGAGGGGAGCGAAGATAGTGTCGTCTCCTTAAAATTTGGCAGTATTCAGATTCAGGTTACTATTTAAAGACCGGGCTTTAGACTAATATCTAAAATAGTATTGGTAATGCATATGAAAGACTTCCTAAAATCACAGACTTTACTTTTTTTTTTTTTGAGGCCACGTGTTTAACATGCCTCATGACGATGCAAAGCAGTGTGCTGGTATTAATGGAATAAGCCGGGATTTCCACATGATGGCATCTATGCTTTCCAACCTGGATCGCAGCCAGCCTTGGTCTCCCTGCAGTGCCTACATGATTACAACATTTTTGGATAATGGTCATGGTAAGATTATTAAGCTTTCCATTCATGTGGCATTTAAGCTCTTGTGCTTTACTCTTTTTTTTTTTTTTTGCTTTTTGCTTTCTTTTTTTTCCCTTTTTCTTAACCGAGTGCTTTCTGTTACAGCATGGAGTTAACCTTTTACATGCTGCCAATGAATTTAAAGACCCTTAGTTTTACAGAAATGGTGGCACAAATTGGCTCAAAGGCTTACGTTACAAAGCAAATGCAGTTTCCTTTCGAAACCGAACTGACAGCATCGTCTACTTTCTTTTTTTTTTTTTTCTTTTTTTCTGCCTTTTCAGGTGAGTGTTTGTTGGACAAGCCCCACAAACCAATCCAGCTTCCTTCTGACTTGCCTGGCACCTTGTACGATGCCAACAGACAGTGCCAGTTTACGTTTGGAGATGAGTCCAAGCACTGCCCCGATGCAGCCAGTACATGTACAACGCTGTGGTGTACTGGCACTTCGGGAGGACTGCTCGTCTGCCAAACCAAACACTTCCCTTGGGCAGATGGCACCAGTTGTGGGGAAGGGAAGTGGTGCATGAATGGCAAGTGTGTGAATAAAACCGAGAAGAAGCATTATGATGTAAGTATTAAAAAAGAAATCAGAATGTATCATGGGTTGCAGAGGAGCATGGATAATGCTTCAGTGGGAGTGATGAGTCAAAGGGCTTGAATAAATGGAGGCAGATAGCTAATAAAACTTACAGCCTTTTTTTACAAGTGGCTTAGGTAGAAATGAGCATGATTGTGGGTTTTGTGATTTGGTTTTGTTTTGCTTTTACTGTATTCAACTTTTTGTTCTCCTTTTGTTTGTGATTCCAGACGCCAGTGCATGGGAGCTGGGGGTCCTGGGGGGCGTGGGGAGAGTGCTCCCGGACCTGCGGCGGCGGAGTGCAGTACTCCTTCAGGGAGTGCGACAACCCTGTCCCGAGGAACGGGGGGAAGTACTGTGAAGGGAAGCGGGTGCAGTACAGATCGTGTAACATCGAGGACTGTCCGGACAATGATGGTAATCTTTTCCCCATGTTTAAGGCCGAGGAAGGGTGTCTTGTGGAGGAAGAGCATGTACAGAAGATGATCTAATGTCCACCTCCCTTTCCTCTGCCTGCAGGCAAAACCTTTAGGGAGGAACAATGCGAAAAGCACAACGAGTTTTCCAAGTCTCCTTTTGGAAGCGGACCTGCAGTGGAGTGGACGCCCAAGTTTGCCGGCGTCTCTCCAAAAGATAGGTGCAAGCTGGTCTGCCGAGCAAAAGGAACAGGATACTTCTTTGTTTTACAGCCAAAGGTATTTCAAAGCTATACCTCTCCCATCTAATCATGAATAGGATTTGTATTTCTTCTAACTCTTCATGTGAGGTTAAGAGTCAAGGAGTGTAGAAATCTGAAATTATGTCTTTCTCATACTTAAGCTAGATTCTTCCTTCTCCTCTTCCTACGTGTACAGTGCAAGCATGCTTTAAATATTCTGGCACAGTCCTTCCAGTTATTTCACACGTACCACCTCTTCTACCCACTGCACCCTAGTTTCCTTTCCTCTCCTTCCACCAAGTTGATTAGATTGAGATGTGCGTGGAAAACTGTGGGGGTTCTTTGCCAAAACATTGGTGCTTTCTCATACCGGTTACTAATACGCTGACAGCTTAAAATAAACAAAAGGAAAAATGCTTGTCTTGCGTAGCTACTTGAACTCACTTTTATGAGATGTTGAGAGCCAACAGCTACCAGGGCAATGACACAGATGTTTTTTGTAGAGCAGCACTCCTAGAAATAAAGACTACATTGAACACCATTAAAAGCAATTTTGGTCCTGTACTTCGAGGACATGACTATTGTCTAGTGACACTAGGAAACTATGATCTTTCTTTGTATGAAATCAGTAAAACAGTTCTGTGGTGGGTTTTCTGGGGGGAGGGGGTGTTAATAAAAACAGAAGTTGGTTGTTTTCTCCTGTCACCATGGCACTGTTTTTGCAAGTGAGGTGAAGTAGCACTACATACCTTCAACAAACTGTGGACTGCTTTGGTTTTTAGTTTCAAAATCCCTGAAAATGCAGGTGCTGCACGTGTTCCACCTGTCCTTATTTTGCATTTTGTGTGTGCCTGTATTATGCAGTTTCAAAGCAATGTGCATCTTCTAATCAAATGCCCTACTGCTTGTTCCCTGCAAAGGTTGTGGATGGTACCCCGTGTAGCCCCGATTCCACCTCTGTCTGCGTCCAGGGACAGTGCGTGAAGGCCGGCTGCGACCGTATGATAGGATCCAATAAGAAGTTTGACAAATGCGGTATCTGTGGTGGCAATGGATCCACTTGCAAGAAAGTGTCTGGCACACTTGTTAGAGCAAAGTGAGTGTATGGCTGCTGCTGTTATTTTGTTCTGTGAATGTTTTGTGGGTGTAAGCTTTGGGTTTCCAAACCAGTGAGATGTTGCCCCAGTTTATCGTTGGAACTGATTTGATTGGCCAGAGCCATCTGACTGAAGATAACTTACAGTCACCCCTCTGCCATAGCAATAACGTGCTCTGCCAATTCCTTAATCCTTTAATTCGATTAGATCAGCAGCTCATTCCGCTTCAAATGAATTTCAGTCTTGCGCCAGGCAGCTTCTTCCCTTTGGCAGGGAAGAGTGGAGGACTCAAGTCTTTCTCTTTTCTCTTGGGCAGACCCGGCTACCACGACGTCGTCACCATTCCAGCCGGGGCGACGAACATCGAGGTGAAACAGCGAAACCACCGGGGCGCAAGACATGACGGCAGCTTCCTCGCCATCAAAGCCGCAGATGGCACCTACGTCCTCAACGGCGATTACACCCTGTCGACGCTGGAGCAGGACATCACCTACAAGGGCAGCGTGCTGAGGTACAGCGGCTCCTCCGCTGCCCTGGAGAGGATCCGCAGTTTCAGCCCTCTGAAGGAGCCTCTGACCATCCAGGTCCTCACGGTGGGGGCCCTGCCGCAGCCCAAGATCAAGTTCACCTATTTTGTGAAGAAGACCGCGCAGCCTGGGTCAGAGAAGGCGCCCAGTAGAAAGAAGGAGTCCTTCAATGCCATCAGGGAGATCATCTCCTCTGAGTGGGTCATCGAGGAGTGGGGCGAGTGCTCCAAGTCATGCGGCTCGGGCTGGCAGAGGCGGGCGGTGGAGTGCCGGGACCCCCGGGGGCGGCCGGCCACCGACTGCGCACGGGAGCTGAAGCCCAGTGACGTCCGTCCCTGCGCCGACGTGCCCTGCCCGCAGTGGCAGCTGGGGGGCTGGTCGCCCTGCTCTAAGACGTGTGGGAAAGGTTTCAAGAAGAGATTGTTGAAATGTATTTCTTACGACGGCAGCGTTCTGCCGCAAGAAAGCTGTGAGCCTTCCAAGAAACCGAAACACCTAATAGACTTCTGCAACGTTACAGACTGCAGTTAAATAGTATAAGTTGGGAAAGCTAAGGTTTTTTTATTATTTTATTTTTTTCCTTCAGAACAATGCACTGAAAAAAGAGGGCTAGAGGCAGCGCATGTGTTTTTGCATACAAAATTCATAGTGAGGATGTGTTGAGGTGGGACGGTGCAAATGGCTTTAGTTGGCGTTGCATCCTAAAAATACCCTGCCAACTGAAAACTTGATAGGATAGGATAGCAGACCCATGTCACTCACTTGTCTTCAGCAGATAAGGCCTGAGGGCATTATAGTTGCCTTTTTTAAAGTCTGTTACAAATTAAACAAAACATGAGCAGTGGCCAAAACACATTGAAGAAAACATTTTGGGGTTCGGTTATTTCTCGCTTCTTTTGGATTTATATTGTGGTACTGATCAAGTCCCCATGTGTAGGAGGGGGAGTGGAAAAGATAGCTTAAAACGATCGGTCAGGGCTTACCTACCTCACGAAGGGCAAAAAAACAGGATGGGAAGAGGAGCTTTAACTATGTCATTCATGGCTGCTATTGTTTCAGAGAATAGTTTTATATAAAAATAAAGCCATATTCTCTACCTGTAAAGAGTAAGAAATACCCAGGTCAGTCAACTCCACAGACAACTAGAATGTCATTGTTTTAAAGTATCTTTATGTCATCGCAATGTGCCTGTCCATTTCTCTCATCCACTCTGATGCCATTGTGGTGACATACGTAATCCAGAGGCTAGAAAAGTGGAAATCTTCATGGAGCAGGTAGCATCTCTTGAGTAGTTGCTCGTTGTGCCTCCTGCATACCTTCCACTGGCTTTTCTGGCTTGAGCTTGGTCCTACCATCCTGTCAAGCAGACTGATGGCATTTGTGAGCATTTGAGTCATGCTTTCACATTCGAATCTTTTCCCTTACCCCAGCCAATGGAAATTACTTGCTTTTGGGTTAAAAGAAAGATCAAAGAAATCCCGCTATGAATGGGAACCTCTCCTATGTGGCCTCTGATGGGTTTGTAGTGCTCAAGTCACTGATAAGGCGGGAAGACAAAGCTGAAGGATAGCAGGTCCATCCACAGCAATATGCCAACATTTGCATAATTAAAGTTTGTGCCAGTCCATAGACAATGAGAGAATATGGCTTTCCATATGTATATAGTAAAATATATTACTATAGATTTTATATACTTTATAAGTATTTTATATTTCTTTCCCTTCTGGGAAGGGTTATAATTTGTCATGAATGCATATAATGAGCGTATTTATTTTTATACTTCTTGTCTAATGTGATCTTCTAAGTTATCGCTTTTTTAAAAGGACATATAACAAGGATAGAGTATTTATACAGTATAATATGTTACTAGAGGTAATAAATGAACCCTATAAATTTTGGAAATGGAGCGTCTTTATTTCACTGGAGTAAAACTAGTCCATCGAGCAGAAGGAGCTTGGAATCTAAGGCAACGTTACAAGAAAAGCTAAACCACATTTTTCAAAATGACTGGTAGCTTAGGCTACTAATTGACTGTGTTAGTGAAGGGGTTTGGAAAACTCTACCCATAATGTCATATACCACGTTAAAAGGGGTAATTTTGTATTTTATTACTTAACCACTAACAGGGTGTTCAGCACCGTTGTTTCATCTTTTAGAAAAAATGGAGTGCAACTAGACTGATGCCACTGGTTTTAATAACTGCTTACAGAGTGAGTATTGCTGTCAGTGGTGTTTATAACCAACAAAATATGTACAAAAGTAGCAGTTTTACCTGCTCCACTTAATCTTACCCTACTGGGAGAGCAGCAGTCAACGTTCAAAACCATTCGCTTGCAGTCAGAGGTTTCCCTCACAAATTTCTGGAGGGCCTCCTGATCATGCTTTTCTAATTAGAAGTACTGGATGAAAGAGCTGTTCTAACGCTGTTGGTAACACGTTTTATAATGTTAAAACACATACTAAGCATCAAGAAACTGATTTTTGCTCCCTCATTTCTGATCTCATGACCACTGCAGTAGAGGGAAAATCTTCTGTTGAACTTGGTAGGATTTTTGCCATGGAATTTGAGACGTCAGTCATTTATGAATACTTTTGGCTTTGTGTCATGTAAAAATCTATTAAAACTTCCTTTGCCAATGTTTGGACTCTGTCTTGCAGAAATAGTTCCCACTTACTCCACGGATAAAATCCTGGCCCCCTCTAAAGCACATAGAAAAAAACTCATCACGTCACACTTCATTGAACATTACTTTGTCTTTGACATGCAAAAATACTGGGGAACGTTTTACTTATAACATTATTTAGGAGTGAGCCAATCACTTTCTGTTGTTATAAATACATGAAAGCATTTATAAATACAACAAACAATACTTTATTTAATTGTATATATGTATATGTACACAAGTATATTTTACTACGAGTTAAAATTAGGGCTATATACATTTTCAAGAGAAAAAATACGCATTTTTATTTTCATTTGCTGCTGCTGCTGTTCTTACTTCTCGTAGACTTCGTATCCTAACACGTAGCTGTCGTTTGGTGTTGCCCGAAACACCCTCCATTTAAGAGCCCAAGGAGCTACAGTCCTGATACTGCAAGACCTTGCCATGTCTACAGAACCGGTGAGGTCCCCCGACCTCGGGGTGATGGTGATCGCCCGAATTTGCTCTCATCGACCTCGCAGATACATTCAAGGCAAGGCTAAGAACGCCAGGCGGAGGAAGCCGCTTCTCCCAGACCTACCCACGCGGATGAAAGGAAGCCCACGGTGCTGCCTGCTCTCCCTTCTGGCAGCAGCGCTGGAGGAGGCTCTCGGGGGGGAGCCCCAGGCACCGCCGTGTCGTGCTGAAGGGAATTTGGATCCCATCAAATGCGGCAGACCCCGCTCCCCTTTTTTAATAAAAGGTGCTGAAGCGTTCTGCGTTTCCAAAATGCTCCGGCCCCGTGTTACCGAGGCTGGATCCGTCGGCCCCGTGGTTAACTACAGCGAAGTGAGGAGTCAGAGGGTTTGGGGGAAATCAAGCACATTTGGTGTTTTACGATAAGAAATGGCAATAACAACAACTTTTTTTTTTTTTTTTAACGCGCTTGCAAACAACTGCATAATAAAAGGAGTGACTAACTAACAAAAAGCTATGATACAGCGGCAGCCTGTTTTCGGTGGCAGCACTCGTTTCTTCACAGCATTAACATAGCAGCAGAAGCAACTCGTTACCCGTCCCTGCAGCGCAGCTGCCCGCCGCCGCGTTTCCCAGTCGTGGTTTACTGGCTACGTATTTTTCTTCCACTAGATGATGAATTCTCAGCAGTTGCATCTGTCATACAAGTAATAAGCTTCATGAAATTCTATCCTATTTTTAACAGGGCTGGGTTATAGAGAACGTGCTGCAAATAGTTTATTAATTAAACGATGCAGGCACAGAACTGCTCCCTCCCGAAGCGCCCTTTAGTCACAAGAAGGTCTGCTGCCCCGGGTGGCCCGGCAAGGGGACACAAGCGAAAACACTGGAGCATAGCTGAGCTCTGTACCAACCCAGACGACAATTAAACACACCCCCCGCGCCAAGAGTCTGGCAATTTATCGCTTTTATTACAAAGGGCCGGACAGTGAAGTGCTTTTTGTGTGCACGTTCGTTACCGTGAGCAGGAATTGCAACGTTTCACCAATGACTCGTGAGGCACGCTCTCGGGAGCGCTGGCGCTGGGGTTGGGGTGAGGGTAAGAGCTTTCTTACCAGGCTTTCTGCCAGCCCAGGCGCTCTCTCCTCGGGCCAGGGCCGCTGGTTCCACTGGTGCCCAGATGGGCTTCAGACCCGAGATGAAGATTGTTGCGTTCGACCAAGCTGTCTCAGCTGTCCAGCTTGACAGGTTGGGTGGGAGGTTTCCAGTGCCCAGCATTTCAGCCGAGGACAACCCCACTCCGGTTTGGAGCCAAATTTGTCCAACTGCCTCCCAGGTTCAGAGAAGCCAGATGTTATATAGCCTGTTGGGTTTTTTTTAACATTTTGGTGCAGAAGATAAATGGGTTTAGCAGAGTGACGTGGGCTTGGTAGATGAAATCTGTATCTTCAAGTATTTTCAGAAGTGTGGGGAGAGGCAGGTGTCTAAGTGAATGAAATGCGTCTTCCTTAATCACCCTTGGTTTCATTGTTTTCCAGGCTGAGGGATCTTCCACTTCTCAGTAGCTAACATCTCTGTTGGCAGAGCAGGGCAAATGAAAGCAACGTAGTGAGTAGTCCTTTGCCATTTCATGCAAAACTACAAACGAAGGAATCCAGTTGCCACATTACAAGCTATGTAGTTTCACAGCAGCTTTCATTCAAATCAACATCTCCAAGCACTGTGTATGTTTTGGTAAAGGTCTGGCACACCTTGTACAGAAAAACGAGCAAGAACTTTGCTTTTACCATTGCCCCATTGCAAGTGGGTAAGCAGATGCAAAGTAATGTGGTTTGTTGAATGTTGTAGGACAAATAGGTGACATAGTCTAGGTGAGGGGGAAATTTTACACAAAATATCTTAACCCACTAGCTAGGTTAGGGAATCACAGAATCATAGAATAGTTTGGGTTGGAAGGGACCTTTTAAGGCCATCTAGTCCAACCCCCCTGCAGTGAGCAGGGACATCCACAACTAGATCAGGTTGCTCACAGCCCCGTCCAACCTGACCTGGAATGTTGCCAGGGATGGGGCAGCTACCACCTCTCTGGGCAACCTGGGACAGGGTTTCACCACCCTCATTGTGAAAAGTTTCTTCCCTAGGTCTAGTCTAAACCTACCCTCTTTTAGTTTAAATCCATGACCCCTTGTCCTGTCTCAACATGCCCTGCTAAAAAGTCTCTCCCCATCTTTCTTATAAGCCCCCTTTAAGCACTGGCAGGCTGCAGTAAGGTCTCCCCAGAGCCTTCTCTTCTCCAGGCTGAACAACCCCAACTCTCTCAGCCTGTCCTCACAGCAGAGGTGCTCCATCCCTCTGATCATTTCTGTGGCCTCCTCTGGACCCGCTCCAACAGGTCCATGTCCTTCCTGTGCT